AAAAGTGGGGGGTGGGCGCTTGCCCGGGCATGGGCACTAACGCGGTCGAGTACGGTACATGTATATAACATGATGTATAACGAATATATAAAATTTAAATATAACAAGTCAAAGCATTTAAGAGATATGGCTCTAGAAGCCCAATCATTAAAACAAAATGGCTGCCAGTCAGCCATTTTGAATCCAATCTGAAAAATAAAATGACGAGCATCAGGAACCCGTAATGTCTAATGTATGTACCAAGTTTGAACGAAATCCACCCATAAATGCTTGATATTTGATGATTTTTTTAGCACAAAAATGACCACCATTCGGCCGTTTTGAATAGGATAGTCAAACCAATATATCTGTTTATCTATGACATGATGTATAATGAATATTTAAAATTTGAACATAATCAGTGAAAGCAAGTCATAGATGTGGCACGAGAACCACATTCATTAATACAAAATGGCTGCCAGTCGGCCATTTTGAATTCTATCTGAAAAACAAAATTATTTGCACCAAGGTCCCATACCTGCCTAATGTATATATTAAGTTTGAACAAAATCCATCTGTAAACAGCCGAGAAATGGTTGATTTTTAGGATTTTTTAGCACAAAAATGGCCGCCATTCGGCCATCTTGAATAAGATCGTGAAACAAAATGATGTGCATCAAGGTCCTATAATGTCTAATGTATATACCAAGTTTGAACAAAATCCATCTGTAAACAGTCGAGAAATGCTTGATTTTGATGATTTTAGCACAAAAATGGCCGCCATTCGGCCATCTTGAATTAGGTCGTGAAACAAATTGACGTGCATATGTATAATATCATGTATAATGTATGTGTGAAGTTTGATTGTGATTGGTCCAGGCATTTCTAAGATACAGGTCCGGACGCACGCACAGACGCACGCACACACACACACACACACACACACACGCACACGGAGGTCAAAACATAAGTCCCCGTAGAGTAACGAGTTAACTACACAAGGTCAAATAGAGATGTTCTCACCTCGTACACTGGTATGGTTCTCTTTGCCGAATAATTAACTACGTCCCAGACGATGACAACATTGTCACGGCCTGAGCTGACCATCGTGTCACCGTCCTCTGTAAAACTCATTGCAGTTACAGCACTGAAGTGACTCTCTAGAAAAGCTATACACCTGGGAGGAGAAATGCAAATCTCTAGTTAAGTCTAGGTGAGCATTAAGCCATATTATTTCAGGTTATTCAGTGTTGTCTGCAGAGTACTTTTAAAATATGTTGGTATTACCAAGCTTGAATTTTCGAGACAAAGTGAAAGTTATTGCTATGCTAGTTTATCCCTTTGAAAGCCATTAAACCCTTTCTCTCCAAAATTGCGGTATGTTTTTCACACTTGTAATGACTTTATGTAAATTTAATGAATTTCGCAATCAGTGTAATTTTGTAGCAGTGACAATTTCACTGGGGTCCTGCGACAAAACCTTTTCGTGAAATTTTGTCTTCATGAATGCCATTTAAACGTAAAAATTGAGCGATTTTTTGTTATTTTTGGACCAAAATGGTTACCCCGTTGTAAAAAAAAAATAACATTGTTAGACTGGTTCATCATTTATGAATCATAATACACAAGATAATTTTTCAAGGCACATTCATAAAAACACTGTACAAAATGGTATGCAAATTGGGCCACTGTGCCAGATTTGTTTCCATGGAAACAAGAATTTTAGATTTCCATTCTAGGATTATGCTTCCTTAAAATACAGATACGAATACATATGTGGAGAAGACATCATTTGTGAGAATGCTGCAGATAGGGTTTCATATCCAAATATATTGTGATCACTCAAGAGAGAAATTTGGTCTGTATCTGCATGAATAAGATATGCTATATCTATGCACCAATTAAAAAAGGTTAAAATATCTAAATATTACACATATAATATATATTTGAAAATGAGTCAGAGAAGAATACTAACAGAGTAATTTTTATTTCTGCTAACTAATGAGAGGAACCATACTCTTCAATGCTTATAATATTGATACATTTTATTTTGAATCATTTTCGAATGTAGACATATCTACTATCAGAGGTACATTACTTGGGGTTTGCAACGCGCATAGTACTGTACGGTGACATGTCAAGATCCCATTCAAGTCTCATCTCGTAGATAGCGAGACTGATACTACGACCTTCTGACATGACATAGGCGGTTTGTAATAAAACAATAAAACATGTATTACCACATTCATAGTGAAAAAATATAATACATCGAAAATGTACAGAAAATATAGTTATCGTAATCCGTCATATTGTGAGCAGCTATTTTGATCCACCTGGATATCCCAGTATTCTAGTTACCTCGGGCATGCACATTCGCATTTTTCTGAGTTGGAACGCTTATGCGAGAGCGAGATTGTAACGAGATCTTGGTATCATGTCACCGTAGTTGCAAGCCCCAAGTAATGTACCTCTTCTACTATCTACTACAATCTAGCATAACTTTCCCTATATTAAGTCAACGTTCAAACAGGGACCAATTTGATTTTTTTTACCTGCTTGTCTGCAAATCCCAGATCCTAATTTTATAATCATCCGACGCCGAGTAAAGCTGAAGTCTGGATATATCCGGATGAAACTGTACGATACTATCAAGAAACAAATAAATTTAACATCTTGATTTATCATGAAACAAAGTGACAATTCCCATTCACCACAATGAACATCTGGACACAAGGCTTTATGATGATGACTCATCACAATGATCTGGTATAAAGTCCTTGGTGTTGTACGTACCTCAGCTATAAAAGAAATCATTACAATACAAGTGCCTGAAATGTAGATTGATAACATAGCAATACAACCAAACCCCTGTCACTGGAAACTCACTACATTGTTGATACTGTAATAATGGTAACTAGATTGTTTGACAATTTTGGAAACACTAGTCATTGTTAATGTTTCTTTGGCTGAGGGTAAGAGAATGGTTACATGAACAAAATGTTCATCAGTTGGTCCCTTTGAATCAACTCACTAAACAAATCCAACATGCATCAGTTTACCCAGAATGTTTCACAGTTACTTAGTAAATGTGATGTTCATGCAAGGTACACACCTGCTAACACATTGACATCCTGAATCTTTTTTTTGCAGATAAAAACAGACATAAGTTGAATCCAAAAACAAATTGAGATTATATTATGTGTTGCTTTTTATACCTATTTTGTGCAGAATCCAGTTAAAGTTTGAGAAATGACAAACCATTCATGCTTTCATTTATAACCATTCCTATGATTTTGACTGAGTGTGTCTAATTGGTCTCTGCTGCAGGGGAAAATATGAATATTCTTGAATTCTTCGCATGCTGAACATTAAATAGAAAACACCAGTACAGCAACTTCACATTCTTATACTTCATAGACCGATTCAGCACATTTAGTCGATGCTTTGAGAATCATTAAATTATTACCTGACAACTCCATGTGAGCCTTTCAAGTTATGGGTACAGTACTGCTTAATGATGTCCCATATTTTTATTGTACTGTCACACCCACCAGTGGCTAATAACGTAGATGTACTGTCAAATGTCATGCTGGCTACAGGAGCAGCATGGATAGCCTACAACGTAAAAAATGGAATAATGAGATGTCATCACGGAAGATGGGAATGTGTCACATAGCCCCCTCATTAAAAGTTAATTTCTCAAGATACAAATCAATGACAAATTTTGTGAGTCAGTGAGAATCCCTTATGTTTTGTCGCATTGAAAATTTCTTGTGGAATTTCGGCAATATTAAATGAACAAGTCAAGAAATTTTGTAGCCAAGAAAAACAACAGGTTGATGATTTCACTGAAATTACGTGCAGTGAAAAATGTAAATTTTTGCCATGCAACTACATTTTTTTGGATATTTCAACTTTCAGCCTGAATTTACTACAGTTGCAAATTTTTATGTACATCGAGTCAGCAATGTCATCATCCGATTGGCTGACAATCAAGCCAGTAGGTCGTTAACAGATTTGGAGGCTGTATTACTTGCAACTGTATTGTCAGCTAATTCGCTTACAATAATGCTGGTTAGCATTAAGTAACATACGTCCCACTGAGAAGAAACCCCAGACTGGTTCTATATCGGTATTATCAGTTTAATCTAATGACAAATTTCTGAATTTAAAGCTGATACTTACTTTCCATGTTCTTGTGCATACTTTATCTTTCCAGTCCCATTGTCGTAAAAGTAGATTACGAGCCGCTGTCACGAGAACCTGGGAAGTTTATAGCGTGGATAACAATCACAAAACAATTACCGGTATATAATGTAGAATCATAATATTTTGTCATTTTCTACGTGGCAAAATTATTGTTTTTACATCAGACCTCTAAAATCAAAGCTATAGAAATTAGAATTCCAGCTATGGCAATCCAAAATAAGTTTTTATTAATTTTATGATTTTTGCAGGTGAATATATTTTTTCACCAGATGGAAAATCAGATTGTTGGCACTTTTTTTCTCGCCCAACTTTGATGCAACATTTTCACATTGGGATTTTTCTGTCATTTTTTTGGTAATTTTGTACTAAATGCACAGAATTTCTCATTTACAGGTGGTCTTGATCAAAATCTGAAAACATTTTTTTTGTAAATATTGATAAAAGCTCAGTGACACTGACCTGGCTATCATTGGTAACAGTAAAACAGGTGATCTCATCTTCATCATCCTAAACAGAAATTAAGAGGAAAAATCATTATAATCAAGTACTTCTAGAAGAATTCAATTGTTATGTGACAATATCTCAATGGTGATTTACATATGAAACATTTACAATATGATGTTGGCATCTCAGGAACATCAGGAGTGCATGCATGTCACTCATTGCCTTGAGGTGTCTGGGGTCACCTTACATGTGCCTTGTTTATGTTCAAGGAGCCATTCTGTTGCCACAGGTCACTATTGCCACGTCTCTCAGGGCATCACAAGAAGGCAACACAAACACACTCCAGAGCAAATGAAAATAAACCTG